CAGACATGGCCCGACACCATTCTGGGTCCATCAGATTTAAACTAGATGGCTCACGTTCGGAAGGGGGATGCGTGAGCACAAGTGAAGAACCCCTAGAGAGTGTTGACCTTCACCAGTTTTATGAGAATGCACGCGCACAGGCTCCCACTGGGACTAAAGTGATCGCACAAAATGTTCAAGCAGTGAGGCATTCGACGATTTGTTCTATGCGCCAGTCAGCGTTAATAATGTGTTTTCTATGAAGGGAATGCTTGATACAGGCTCCATGGCTTGCACTTTTAGTGACAAAGCGAGAAGAGGATGTTAAGTGAGAATGTGCTGCCTTCACCCACACCACTTCAGGAGGAAGTCATCTTAGTAGGATGTGGTGGCAAGGTTACAAGACCAAAATGCATGTATGAGGTCCAGTTGAAAGTTTATGGAGAGAGCTGCCAAGTGCCCATCCTCGTTGTACCCGGCCAGCGGGATGATCTGATCATTGGTACAAATGTCATCAAATTCCTAGCACATCGGATGAAAGGCAGCAGTGACTTTTGGAGACTTGTTTCTGATCATAGAGCAGAGCCGATGGCAGGATGTGAGCAGTTCCTGGATGTAATGGCCAACACGTGTCGGTGGAAGGGTTCAGAGCTGCCAGATAAGGTGGGAACCATCAAGCTGCAGCAGTGTGTCACTCTTTTAGCAAGGCAGGAACATCTTGTCTGGGGGAAGCTGCCAAAAAAATGTCCCAATGTCTCCAGGGAGCACAGTCGTGGTGGAACCCACAAATTCAAGGTCTGTGTCACGAGACATTATGGTTGGACGAGTTGTCACGCCATTATGGGGTGATCGCTGGGTTCCCGTAAAAGTCACTAACTTCTCAGATAAGCCAGTCACCCTTAAGAGGAATCGCAAGTTAGCGGATGTGTTTCCATGTGTTGCCATGGAAGATTTCGAGCTTTCCAAGGGCTGAGTCGAGCTGAAGTGGTTGCGGAGGAGAAGCAGCAATCCTCTAAATTGTCAGCTGACTTCAAACAGAGATTGGAAACTGTTGGTCTCGTTGATCTCGACATTCAGTCTGGTTCTGTCAGTGATGTGACAAAGGAGAAGTTAGTACAATTATTGGAGAGATACAACGATGTGTTTTCTAAGCATGCGTTGGACTGTGGAGAAGTAAAGGGTTTTGTTCACCGCATTCGGCTAATGGATGAGTGTCCATTCAGACTCCGTTATCGTAGAGTGCCGCCTGCACACTATCAAAAGTTACGGCAGGTCTTGTCTCAGATGGAAGAACAAGGGATAATAAGGAAGTCTGTAAGTGAGTATGCTTCCCCGTTAGTCCTAGTGTGGAAGAAGGATGGCAGTCTGAGGCTATGCACAGACTTCAGATGGTTAAATGCAAGAACGATAAAGGATGCACACCCGCTTCCCCACCAGTCTGACTGCTTAGCTGCTCTGGGCGGGAACACACTCTTCAGCACCATGGATCTGACGTCCGGGTTTTATAACATCCCCATGGCTGAAGAGGACAAGAAATACACTGCATTCACGACTCCTGTAGGGCTGCACGAGTATAATAGGATACCGCAAGGGCTATGCAACAGTCCAGCGTCCTTTATGCGGATATGGTTAGCATCTTTGGAGATTTGAATTTCAGCAGCTTGTTGTGTTATCTTGACGACCTGTTGGTGTTCGCTCCTAATGAGCAGGAAGCATTGGAAAGACTGGAGGTCGTGTTCAGTCGTCTGAGGCAGTACAATCTTAAGCTGAGCCCTAAGAAGTGCCATCTACTGAGAACCTCTGTAAAATTCCTGGGCCACATCGTTGATAAGGATGGAGTTTCAGTAGATCCTGCCAAAGTTGAAGTCATTTCAAAGCTGTCTAAGGCAGATCTTATGGAAGATGACAAAAGTACTCCATCAGTGCAGAGGATCAAATCAGTTCTTGGTATGATCTTATATTACCAACATTTCATTCCTGGATGTTCTACTTTGGCCAAACCGCTTTTTGCTCTTACGGCTGGACAGAGGAAGAAAAGAGGAAATAAGGGAGACGTTAAAGCTGGAACTTACAGGAAGCTCAAGCCCACGGATTGGACATCAGAATGTGATGGCGCATTATGTTGCCTCAAGGAGAGTCTGCTTCAAAGTGTGGTTTTAGCACACCCTGACTTTACTCAGCCTCTGGTCCTGGCGATAGATGCCTCATTGGACGGACTCGGAGCTGTATTATCCCAAGTGCCTGCGGGTGAAGAGCGAGCTCGTCCTATTGCGTTTGCAAGCAAGACTCTGAGCAAATCACAGAGGAACTATCCAGTTCATAAGCTCGAATTTCTGGCACTCAAATGGAGCGTGTGCGAGAAGTCTAGCCATTGGTTGAAATGTCAAACATTCACCGTATGGACAGACAACAATCACGTATGTCATGTCCAAGGCGAAACTCACTGCATGTGAGCAACGTTGGGTGTCCAAACTGGCGGCTTACACCTTTGAACTGAAGCATATAGCGGGGAAGAAAAATGTGGTGGTGGATGCTCTGAGTAGAGACCCTTTCGTCAAGACTATGAGCGTAGGCTGATGAAAGAGCAATATCATGATTTACTTGTGGAGGCCGAAGTGGTTGATGGAGATGGAGTTCGAGATGCTTTTCGTCATGGAGCTCAGAACGTACAGATCTGTCTACAGTCCTGTCTTGACTTACCTTCTGACAGTGTCACAATCAAAGCTTGTTTAAGTTTACATGATCAGTGGGAAAAGACTTCTCAAGCAAGAGCTGTGCAGCTAATTCAGTCCTACCAAGATTTAATGCCCGCTGGTATTGACACTCCTCCTACGATCGCTGTGGATGAAATTCGTGAAATGCAAGAGGTTGATTCAGTCATTTCAAGAGTGATGTTCTTTGTGAATTTGAAGCGTCAACCATCGAGACGGGAGAAGGCCAACATGAGTTCCAAAACTCTAACTCTTTTCAGGCAGTGGGACAAATTAAAGCTCAAGGATGGAATACTGTACAGAGTCACACAAGATCCGCACAGTAAACAGAAGCGGTATCAGCTGGTCTTACCTTCTAGCCTCAAGGGGCAGGCTTTAAAGGGTGTACATGATCTTGCGGGTCATCAGGGGCAAGCAAGAACCATTCATTTAGCCCGTCAACGTTTCTTCTGGCCGGGAATGGGGAACGATGTGTGTGAATACATCAAGTGCTGTCAAAGATGCATCCTAGCCAAGGCTCCCGAACCATCTGCGCGGGCCCCTCTTGAAAGTATCAAGACCTCTATGCCCATGGAGTTGGTATGCCTGGATTTCTGGTCTGCAGAGGATGCGAAGAAACGATCTGTAGATGTACTCGTTGTGACAGACCATTTCACGAAGTTGGCTCGTGCCTTCCCTTGTGCGAATCAGTGTGCAAAACAAGTGGCAAGGAAGCTGTGGGATCGTGTATTCTGTGTTTACGGATTCCCGAGTCGCATCCACACTGACCAGGGAGCCAACTTCGAGAGTGCTCTTCTAACAGAGTTATTGAAACTATCTGGAGTCGCAAAGTCTCACACCACCGCGTACCACCCCATGGGAAACGGAGGAGTAGAGAGGTTTAATCGGACTTAAGGAAGCATGCTCCGAACTCTGCCTCTGAAAGAGAAGCACAAATGGCCAGAGCAAATACAAACACTGACTTTTGCTTACAATGCTACGGTACACGAGACAACTGGTTACGCTCCATTCCAGCTAATGTTTGGTCGTGTACCAAGACTGCCGGTGGATGTAATGTTCAGACAGGTGCTACATGACCCTGTGGTTGTTGATCATGGTACTTACCTGAAATCATTGATGTCATACCTCCATGAGGCAGATTGCGCAGCGACATTCTGAAAAAGAGCAGAGGAAACAAGCAAAAGTTTACAACAAGAAAGTCAGAGGGACGTGTCTGAATATCGGGGACCGTGTGCTGGTGGCAAATAAAGGAGAAAGAGGAAAGAGAAAACTAGCAGATAAGTGGGACCCTGTGGTGTACACTGTTGTGGATCGGAATATGCAAAAGCATATTTACAAGCTAGAGGATGAGAAAGGCAATGTGAAGGTAGTGCACAGGAACTTGTTGTTGGACATTAGTTTTCTACCTGTTGACTCGCCTGATGAAGAGGAAAGCATTCTGCTCTCTACGGAGGATTCAGAGTGTGAGTCGCGTAGCGTCAGAAGTGAGTCTTGTGCGGATGACTTCGAACCAACCGATCTGGAGGAAAGAACAAGGAGATGGGTGAACAGAGATTCTGAAGAGCCTGTAGTTCAAGACTCTGATGTCGAGGAGGCTGTGGGAACAGACCAATTCAGTTCGAAGGAAAAAGAGTCTAGTGACCAATTGTACACCGAAGAGAATGATAACAGAGACCTTCAGAGCGGAGCTGAATCCAGTCCATCATCTCTTGACGTTAACATTGACTGTGACACAGATACACATACACAAGTTCTGATTGACAATCAAACTGACACTGATACCAATTTCCTGTTACTGACATTCAGGGTGTTAGGACACGTGCAGGTAGAGTTGTTAAGAAAGTGAACAGACTAATTGAGTCAATGGTTCAGAAACCCTTTTACCTCCAAGATGTGGGAAGTAGTCTGAAAAAGAGAACTGGGTCGTTTCTTTCTCTGTTCTAAAAAGTATTCTGTTTTGTTTTTGTATGAGGTGGAGAGACATTTTAACCCCTAATGTGTAACGAGGGTCAGGTCATATTATGGTGTAAAAGGCACCGTATTGTTCCAAGATTATCTTAGGCTTGATCACCCCGAGATTTTTCTTGACCTATTAATGGGTAACTCACAAGTTGAACTAATGAATGTTTCATTACAGACCTGTATCAGCTGTTATTTGATGTGGATCCAGTACGGATTTTTGTGAAATTTGGAAGGGGTGAATGTAACGAGTTATAATAAGTACAATTTAAGTTGAATGTATTGTTGTTGTTTCCCAAAAATCCTTATTTTATTACTGATTTATTTGTTACTGTTTTTTTTTTTTTTTTTGCTAAATATGCCGATTTTTATATTCACTCTTTAAGGGACTTTTATTTTGACATTTTTTCTTGCCGCCGCGTTGGTGCCATTTTAGAGTGTGTGCGCGCCTCTTGCCAGTTTGCATTGAACTCGCTGGGGAGAGGTAAGCGTTTTGCAGAGCTCTTAAAATTATGAGCAAAATAAGTTTGCAAAGTGTATAAATTGGTTTAATACCCGTTTGTAATCAATGCAGGAATTGTATGGCGTGTTTTGTTGTATGTTACATGCATGAGTGGATTAATAATCTGAAGATTAATCGCGTGGGCCGTATATTGCATGAGTTTTGCGTGTATTAGCACGGTTTTGAGTCAACTGATTGGTGTTGTATCATGCAGGTGAAAGCTATGAGATGCCCTCATGTGATTTTTGTCATCTTTGTGATGTTGAACTTCAGGTATTCCACTTTTATTGCATTTTACATTCTTGTATTGTGTTAATATGTTATGCTTTAATATTATTTGTATGTTCATTAACTTTAATTGTAACAAAATGAGTTTGCATTGAACTCGCTGGGGAGAGGTGAAAGCTATGAGATGCCCTCATGTGATTTTTGTCATCTTTGTGATGTTGAACTTCAGATGCTGCGAAATCCATGCTGAACGTGATTGAATAAACTCCCATATTGGTGAACTACAATACGTGTCCTGGTCCTATAATACACAACGCAGAGAGACTGAGAAGCGTAACAGCGGTCAGCGAGTGGACCGGTTACACTCAGACATACACACTAATGAGGAATTTACTGAGTCCTGAGAAACCGGGATCAAAAAGTTATGAGGATCTGGTGAGTTTGCTGAAAAATCACTTTAATCCGAAGCCCAGTGAGATAGTTCAAAGGTGGAAGTTTAATTCACGTAACAGACACTTGGATGAAAGCATAGTAGAATATGTGGCTGAACTGAGGAAGCTGGCACAAGATTGCAATTTTGGAGACACGCTTAAAGTTATGCTGAGAGACAGATTAGTGTGTGGTGTTAATGATGACAGCATACAACGGAGATTACTGGCTGAGGATGGATTGACGTTTGAGACGGCTTTAAGGAAAGCTCAAGCTATTGAAGCTGCTAATAAGGACATGGCTGATTTGCATAAAGATAAAGGAAATCGAACGGGTACTAATGTTTTTAAAATGGACACAGGAGAAAAAAGTAAATCGAGTGTTACAGGAATGTGCTATCGATGTGGTGGAAGTAATCATGGACCAAAAGACTGTAGATTTGCCAACGAAAAGTGTTATAATTGTGGTAAAATTGGACATGTGAAAAGAGTATGTAGAATGAAGCCACAAGAAACTGGTGTGGATAAAGACAGGAAATTTTGGAAATGGGGAAGAGGAAATCAATCAAAGAGGGCAAATTATCTTCAAGAAGAGGAGGAAGATCAGTCTGGAGAAGTGTTCACCATGTATAGTTTAGAGACACCACAGTCCCATGTACCCCCTATTACACAGACATTGTTTGTGAATGAATGCCCTGTGAAGTTTGAGATTGACACTGGATGTAGTGTAACTGTCTTATCACAGATGGAGTATGAAAAAATGGAAGCTAAAAAGAACGTGCCTAAACTCAAAACAAGCTCTCTCAGTCCAAAAACATACACAGGACAGCCAGTGCACGTTCTAGGTACCACCAAGCTTAAAGTCAAAAACAAAGGGCTTATCAAAGAACTCACCGCGGTGGTGGTGGCAGGAGCAGGGCCTAATTTACTAGGACGATCATGGCTTGTAGACCTGGAACTCAACTGGGAAAGTGTGAGTAAAATCAAAGACAGCTCAGAGTTGTTGCAGGACATCTTAAGGAAACATGAAACGGTTTTCAAGGAGGAACTTGGAACATTAAAAGGAGCCACGGCTAAGATTTATCTTTATCTTTTTATCTTTAAGATTTACCAAGTGATGTAAAGCCTTATTTTTTCAAATCAAGATCACTGCCTTTTGCTATGAGAGAGAAAGTTGAAGCCGAACTTGATCGTCTGATTAAAGACCATATTATAAAGCCTGTGAAATTCTCTGAGTGGGCAGCACCTGTTGTGCTGCAGCACCTGCAGCACCTTTCTGTTTTAAAGCCAGATGGGTCAGTAAGACTGTGTGGAGACTACAGAGTAACTATTAACAGAGAGTCGTCACTGGAGCAGTATGCCATTCCTCGAATGGAGGACATGTTTGCAGTTTTAGCTGGAGGTGAGAAATACAGCAAGTTAGATATGAGTCATGCATATCAACAGATTGTGTTAGATGAGACGTCAAGGCCATATGTGACGGTAAATACACACAAAGGATTGTTCACGTATACCAGATTACCTTTCGGAGTTAGTTCCAGTCCAGCGATCTTCCAGAGTGTAGGGTTGTGGCACTATCACTTTAAATATATCTGTATTGATGTTAACGTCATGTGGGCGACCCCTGTTAAAAGGAAGTGGTAACGCATCAATAAACACAGAAGTGTTTGCATTTACACGAGTTGTGTGTGTATTACTGGACACTCTACATGGTGTCAGAAGCGGCTGATAATGGCTCAAGGACTCCGCCGTATAGATCCATTAGTGTTTGACGTCAATGTTGCTGATAACTGGCGGAAATTTGAGAAAGAGTGGACAATCTATTGCAAGGCAGGACTGTCGGATAAGTCAAAGAAAGTTCAAGCCTACACGCTACTGAACCTAGCCGGCCCGGAGGCTGTGGAAAAGTCGGATTCTTTTGTTTATGGAGAGGGGGAAAACCACGAAGATCCAGCGACTCTATTGGTAAAGTTTGCTGAACTATGTTTGCCAGCGAAAAACGTTATCATGGACAGACATGTGTTTAACACCACTAATCAAGGAGTCGGTGAGTCTATTCAGACGTATATCTCAACTTTAAAAATACTGGCGAAAAAATGCGATTTTGGCGTGCTGTGTGAGGAGTTGATCAGGGATCGCATCGTTTGCGGGATACAGAGTGACATCCTACGCAAACAGTTATTACGTGAAAAAAATCTCACCCTTGCACTGGCAGTTAGCATCAGCATGCTCCATGAACAGTCAGAGAAAAGCTCTAAGGAACTTCATAAGGAAGCTGAAGTCTGCTCGATTCAGAAGGCTCGCTGTAGCAATTGTAATGGCCAACACTCACCTGACCGCAGCAAGTGTTTTGCTCTTAATAAGATATGCAATAATTGTGGGAAACTTAATCACTTTGCTAGGTGTTGTCGATCGGCTCCTGCGCAGGCCATAGTTCGCCCCAGAGCCCCCACGTCATACAGAAGAAGAGAAATGGGTAGAGTGAATGAAGTGACAATTGAACCAGACAATCATATGGATGATACTTTCTACTGTGATACAATACTGACACCCGCACAGAAGGGGGAAATCTTCGCTACGCTCGAAATGAAGAACGGAACGGGACAGCTGAAGGTAAAAGTGGACACTGGTGCTAAATGTAATGTGCTGCCCAGGAAAATGCTGCAGGCGGTTGACCACACAGTATATGTGGACCCAGATGAAAAGGTCAATTTAGTGGCTTATGGAGGTGAGTCAATTAAAACTGATGGCACTGTAACACTGCATTGTACACAGGGGCAGTTCAAGTTTCATGTGGTCAATAGGGATGTAAAACCCATACTAGGACTACAGGACAGTATGGCTATTGGTCTTATACGTCTCGGACCTGATGTCCATATGCTGCAACCAGAAGCTCCAGAAATACTGGAGTTTAAAGACCTGTTTGACACTAATGTCGTAGGCAAATTACCAGTGATATATCATATGAGAATAGATGACACTGTTGCCCCTACAATATGTGCTGCCCGCAGGATCCCCATCGCCATGAAGGATAAGGTTAAGGCGGAGCTGGACCGAATGACTGCCCTGGGTGTGATTACGCCAGAAAATGACGCAACAGAATGGGTGTCTGCCATGGTTGCAGCGAAAAAAAAAGATGGAACAGTGAGACTGTGCATTGACCCAGTGCATCTAAATCGGGCCCTCCTCAGACCCCGCCATCCGATTAAATCAATTGACCAAATTATTGCAGACATGCCTGGTGCCAAAATATTTAGTATATTAGATGCCAAGTGTGGGTTTTGGCAAATACCCCTGGACCGTGTATCCTCTAAGCTCACAACATTCATGTCACCTTATGGCCGATATAGGTTCCTAAGAATGCCGTATGGCATATGTACAGGCAGTGAGGTCTTCCAAAACGTCATGGAACAGCTATTTGCAGGACAACCTTGTGAGATTGTGGTTGATGATATCCTCATTTGGGGGCGTACATTATCAGAACATGATGAACGCCTAACACAGGTTTTGAACAGGATTCGCGCCATCAATCTGAAGCTTAATCCTGACAAGTGCAAATTTAGAGTCAACTGTGTACATTATGTGGGGCACCTGTTAACTGCTGATGGTGTTAAGCCAGATCAGGAAAAGATCAAAGCCGTCTGTGAGATGGAGAGGCCACAGGACAAACAGGCCCTACAGCAGTTTCTGGGCATGACGAACTATCTATCCAAATTTATTCCCCGATACAGTGAAATGACTGGTCCCCTGAGACAACTGATACACCACGACGTGGAGTGGCACTGGCATGAGAGCCATGATGCAGCTTTCAGCAAGCTGAAGCAGACACTGACCAAGCCCCCTGTGCTTCAGTTTTTTGATGCATCAAAGCCAGTGGTTATATCAGCAGATGCTTCCCAACATGGTCTGGGAGCGGTGTGTCTCCAAGACGGGAGGCCGGTGGCATTCGCATCACGTGCCCTTACACCGACTGAATCCAGGTATGCTCAGATTGAAAAAGAGATGTTAGCACTGGTGTTTGCAGCTAAAAAGTTTCATGATTTCATATATGGCCGTCCTGTCATTGCTGAAACGGATCATCAGCCACTAATAACTATCCTGAGGAAACCACTGCACACCGCATCATCACGTCTGCAGGGGATGATGCTTAAATTGCAACGTTATGACTTGGATGTTATGTATAAGCGTGGCAAGGAACTGTTTGTTGCAGATGCATTGTCACGTGCACACTTACCTGAGTCTGAGCCCCCACTTACTGATGATTTACTAGAAGTGATGGCTGTCCAGGTGCTCTCCTCACGTCGTACGGATGAATTACGAAATGCAGTAAAGAGTGATGTTATCTGTCAACAGCTAGTTGAAGTCATCATGCATGGCTGGCCCAGCACCTCCAAGGAGCTGCCGCAACAGTTGCGTCCGTTTTTCTCCATGAAGGAAGAGTTGACAGTAGAAGAGGGACTACTTCTGCGTGGGCAAAGGTTAATAATTCCTGCAGCATTGCAAACGTTTTACGTGGGTCAACTACACCAGGGTCATCCTGGGATTGAAGCTACCAAACGCAGAGCTAGAGAGACTATGTACTGGACCTCAATGTACACGGATATTGAAAGAGAGGTGTCTCGCTGTGCTGCATGCAACGCTTTGACAGCACATCACACAAAGGAACCAATGCAACTCCATAATGTTCCTGAAGTACCATGGTCATTTACTGCAGCTGATTTATTTGAGTGGCATGGCAAAATGCATCTAGTTCTGGTGGACTCCTACTCAGGGTGGTTTGAACTGGATTACCTCCCCAACATGACCAGCAACACGGTCATTGCGAAGTTGAAGCGACACTTTGCAACACATGGTGTGCCACACACACTTATGACTGATAATGGGACCCAATTCACTGGAAGGGACTTTACAGACTTTTCACAAGCATGGGATTTTAAACACATCCGCAGCAGTCCTTATTATCCACAATCTAATGGGCTTGCTGAGCGTGCAGTGAGATCCGCTAAGCACCTGCTGGAGAAGTGCCACCGTGATGGTACAGATATCCAAGCAGCCATTCTACACATTCGCAACATTCCTCGTGATGGGCTCCCTTCTTCTGCTCAGCGTCTCATGTCCAGGCAAACCAGGACCTTTCTGCCAGTAACCACAGACATGCTTAGGCCTGCTATCCAAGTTAACGTGGCTGCTACCATCTCCAAACATAGAACAAGGGGGAAAGTGTATTATGATCGCAGTGCACATCGTCTCTCTGCACTAAGACCAGGGCAAACAGTCAGAGTACACACGGAACGTGGGTTTGATCAAGTGGCAAGAGTGGAAGGCCCAGCTCAGCAGCCTAATAGCTATGTATTAGCGTCACAAGGAAAGAGATATATTAGGAACAGGCGACATCTTCTACTGGTTGATGAAAATCCAATGGTAAGCCCTGAGGAGGATGTGCCACTGAGGTCCACCTCACCAGTATCGGATAGAGAAACTGCCCAAAATGACAACCCACCACTTGCACCTTGTAGAGAAACTGTTCAAAATGCCAACCTACCACCTACATCTCCTAATATCACATCAGTGATTAAAAGCAATCCACCTACACCTCCTAATAGTACATCAGTGGCCAATACTGCTGCTTCATCTGAGAGACAGTTGGTGGTGACTCGAGCAGGCAGAGTTAGCCAACCCAATAAGCGTTATCAGGACTATGTCGGGAAATGGCTAAAAAACTAAAACAACTGTGTTGCTCATACCTCACCATGTTTTCATGTTTGTGTCACCAAAATTGTCTAAATGGACTGATTATAAGATGAATTCAGTACATGATGTAAATTCAGTGGGTTGTGTTAAATTGTTTAATGTGCTATCTGGAAGAAAGGGGATGTAGGGTTGTGGCACTATCACTTTAAATATATCTGTATTGATGTTAACGTCATGTGGGCGACCCCTGTTAAAAGGAAGTGGTAACGCATCAATAAACACAGAAGTGTTTGCATTTACACGAGTTGTGTGTGTATTACTGGACACTCTACACAGAGGACCATCGAAGGGGTCCTGAAAGATATTCCAAAGGTCTCTGTATATCTGGACGATATCTTGCTAACAGGAAAAGATGATCAGGAGCATTTGAGG